CACAAGAGGTGTCACAAATGCAATGTGAATTATTTTATTTATATATTTATTATTTCCTTATCAGCACAAAGTTGTTTTGTTGCATACCAAGACCTGCCAAACTATAAATCTTAGGTTTTTTTTAATTACCTGCATTTTCAAATGTCATATAGAGAACAAGGACGGGGAGCTGATTTACAGAAAGGTGGATTTTCCATGCCAAATTACAAAAAATATGTTTTTTTTAAAAAAAAACAAACACAAAAACGGCAAACTGATCCCAGCAGCTGCCAGTGGTGTTGTAGAAAAGCACCACGAGCAAGGAGAATCTTTGAGGCACAGCTTCAAAGCTGTGAAGATCTAAGCAGGTTCCCTTTAAATGTTTGCCAAAGGCCCCCATGCAGTAATCTGTAAGAAAAGTGGAATATTTAGATGAACTCAGCCATGTGTCTTTACCATTTCCAATAGGAGGCAAAGGAAGACTTTGATTTCCAACAAAGGGGTAGTGCTGATTTTGTCTGTGCAGACTCTACAGTGTGTAGGCTCATGAATTCTGGCTTACTGAGGTACTGCTGGGTAATGCTTCCAGTGATTTTGCAAGCTTGATCCAATGTTTTTTTTCTATCCTTAATTTCTTCAACAAACACACTCTTTTGAAGTGCAACTTTCCAGAACCCTGTATTAGGAGACACAGAACTAGAATTTCTCTTCTGATTGTCTATTTTCTACAAATTGTCTCTGCCAAAGAGTAATTTTTTTTTGCAGAGGAGGTAAAATGTGCCAGTTGCTTCAGACAAGCTGTTTTCACCATGATGTTCTTAGCTGTTTCCAACCTGGCAGGTGTCAGAGTTGAATCTCTTTTTTCCCCATCTTTACAGGGCACTGTTTCATATTTTCATTGTCCTATGTGTAGGTTTGCACGGCCCCTTGGGTTGTATGCATTGTAATTGCATAAGCAGTCTAGGTGTAGTTACAGGCTTGCATAAATTTTACTCTTGCAGAAAAGTAGGGTTGTGGGGACAATTATGACTTCTCTTTACATTTATAGTCACACTAATTTTCAGGTACATCTAACAAGGCAAGACAAGAGATATTCTGCACTTGTATATCTGATGAGCTGAGTTCATGATAAATCAGCAGCTGTTCTTCAGAACAATGAGGGATGTTGCACTTAGAAGTGACACTTCATCAGGTTTATCCTGCTGCAAAAGTCCAAAAGAGTGGAGAAAGCTGAAAAAAATAAGAAAGAAAAAAGTCAGGTGGCATTCGTCCGTCTAGACTTTTTTATAATCCACGTAGTCTTATACTCTGAGTGAGTGTTGAGATATATCTGAATGGGTATAGAGGTAGAGAAAACCTTTCAGTAGCTAGCAGATTTGATACAACAAGCATTAAAGCAAGGAAGAACCCTACCCTTGCAAAGAGCTTAATTTCCAGACATCACAGAGCTTATTAATCTGCTGTGCTTTCTAAAACTGAAACCTCATGTTCATCTTTGCTACACATTGTGTGACCTTGTTTGATATGATACTGTGTGTTGAGATGAAAAATCCCAAGACTTTGATAAAACAATAAACGTCGTATTTCTGATGAACTTCAGCATCTGGTTTTTACGTGGATATAGGAAAAAGCACTGTGAGAAATGGAAGTACAATTTTTCTGTTAGACAGGTTTTAGGAAAGCACCACGTTTCTTTAAAAATGCCACCTCTCAAATAGGGGTGATAAACAACAGTAAATGAGTATAAAACAAAGTGAGTTTTCTGGAGTGAGACAGAAATGTGTTGTGTAGAGGGAAGACATTATGCACTGAGAGATGGAAGGCATTTTTTCCTTTCACAGTGGGTTATTTCTTGTCATTTGTAGGCTGCGGTTGGAATATGGAAATGCATAGCTGCATTCTGCTGTAAAGTGCCTCCGAGCAAAGATTATTAAAAATGACAGACATATTTCTGTGTATCTGATAACGTCAAGAACAGAAGTAAAGTGCCGCACATTGGTGTTATGAGATATTAGAATAATTCTCTTTTCTGCAAAATCTGTGACACCTAATGGAAGAATGTCATTTTGGGCTTGCTTGCAAGGGTAATTACATTGTGACTCGATAAGGCACCTTAAACTTGCTTGACTTTAAGAGTGTCTTTCAATTCACGACTATTCAAGACAGCACTAGCAAAGGCGTACGTCTAAGGTTTTGCTTAAATGCTTTGCTGAATTTAGGCTTCAAAAATTAACCATTTTCCATCAAATAGTGTTCACTGCATTGCACTTGTAATAGTATACTGAGGTTCATGCCTTTTCAGTTGGAAAGGCTTACTTAAAACATTTGATGTTCTTAAATATAGCACGTCATTCTTTGGTGTTGCACAACTCAACTGGCTGAGCTTGACAGTAATGGTGGCACAGTAACTCTAGGAGTGTGTTTGAGGTGGTGCTTCTACCGTGCCCTCCTCGTGCCCTCAGCAATGAGACTTTCTATTATTCACTAATCCGATTTTTCTCTTTGGCATCATTAGTGACTGGCATCTAGAGTTGACATGACACACCTAAGTCATCTGCTGGGGCTGACTGTGAAATGCCAGTCTGAATCTTTCTTATGCACACCTTGGCCATTGACACAGGACTCTGTTTGTACAGATATCTCCTTGCCAGGCTTCCCAGGTTCCTTTCTTCTCCATTTTGTTTCTTCTTGGGGACTGAGGCCATTCTCTACTCATAGCATGTGCTACCTGAGCCAATCTTACAGGAGATTCACATGATTCTTGGGGTAGTGCCTTCAAGATTTACTGGCAGTCTGCAGCTACATTTGCAAATTAGTTTGGATTGCTGTAGGGTATAGAGTTAAAATGCACTGGTTGATTTTAAATAACTCCATGTGTGGACGTTATCTGTATGGTTGATTTTGTAACATAATGCACACTGAATATGAAATGTATGAGTAAATTCAATAAATAACTCTGTACACCTATGTACATGAGAGTGTGCACATAAATAGAAATTTTCAGTTTACATATATGCATTTGTAGTAATTTGTAACCATACATAAATTTCTTTGAACTTATCCTTGAATTATGAGTAGCATTTACTGATGCACACATATTTATTTTTGATTACCTTTGGTTTTTTTCAGCTCTTCTTTATGCAACTATTTTTGGAAACGTCACCACCATTTTCCAGCAAATGTATGCCAACACCAACCGATACCATGAGATGCTGAACAATGTGAGGGATTTCCTAAAATTATATCAAGTCCCAAAAGGCCTTAGTGAAAGAGTCATGGATTATATTGTCTCAACCTGGTCCATGTCTAAAGGAATTGACACGGAGAAGGTATGAGTATGTGATGTAACAATTTGGATAGCAACAGTTTGTGTCCATTGTGTACTTTCTTAGAAACAGGGCTGTATAACAGCATGTAACTTACTAACAAATTCTTAACTGCATGCTCCTCCATTATTATGTTTGTATTTGGATCAAAACCAGAAAGTTTTTAAAAAAGGACTGTTATGCTGCTTTGGAAATATGCCTTTATTTTTCATTATGGTAAATGTTTTCTGCTTTCCAGTCTTACTTTGCCTAAATACTAAATAATTGTAATGGACTTGACTATTGAAATCAGTGGGAAATTGGTCTTCAGATTAGTTTGAGAACGTAATTTGCTGTCTAACCTACATCAGTATTCTTCTGAAAAGTATTGGCATCTGTGAGTTGCAATGAAATGAGTTTGATTGGCTTGGACCATTTGCTGATGCTCAGGACATCGACATACCCATCAGCATAATTAGTATAGGATTTAATGGCAGTAGAGATTGATCTCCTTGAGCTAAAAGCTCTCAGCTAGAACTTAAGGCCTTTGGTAGAGAGATACAGAAAATGTGTCACTGCTGGCAGCCATGTGGGATAGAAGTCCTACAGGACTTTAGCCCTCAGAAAGGACCGGTCATTTAGATTTCTTCAAAAGCTGATTAAAGGAGAGAATCATCTTCAAAGAGTGAGTTGCTGTGTGCCAGGACAGGCCAGGTGACCCGCTCTCAGGTCCCCTCTTTCTCCGTGATACGTGTGGTGAGTCTGTCTAGCCTTGGATATTTTGGAGAGCTGAAGTCAGGTGGGAGGGTTTCCACCTGCAATATCGTGAAGGTAGGCAAGATACAACAGTTTTAGGTCTAGATTTTTGGTCAGTGGAGATCGGCGATGCTCCTGTGGCTTCTGTGGGCCTGATACACATCAGCTGAAGTTAGACATTCAAGCTCCAGTTTCCATTAAGTTTTCCCTCCTGAGAACTTAAAAGGCAGTTGTCCAAGGGAGGGTAAGGAAGCGTCATAGCAGATTAATATCTTAAAATGTCTAGTGCTTGGAAAGCTTTGAAATTCTTGCTTCGGTTGAATCTATGGCATAATATGAGTTGATGATGCAGCTTGTTCAGATATGCCAAGATGAAGTCGCTACACTGAAAAATTTAGTCTTACATCATGCTGATGAAACAGCAGTTATCATATTAATCACCTGCTGTGAAATTCAGTTTACCATCACAAATATAACTATTTTAAGTAACAAGGATTTTGATTTCTTTGATTCTTGTGCTTCATTATGCCACATTCTTTAATATGTTAACTTCTTACACACTAATACCCTAACTTCCCAATGCTGATTAATAGTGTTAAAAGTGAGCTTTAATATTGTAAACTACTGTAAATGCTTTCAGTCTAACTGTGTAAACTCAAAACCATGTGAAAATTCAACTTTCATTTGCATTTATCTCCTTGCAGTTAAGCCAGAATCCTGTATTATTCCGCTACAGTTTCATTAGATTTTAATGATGCTTTGCAGTTAATTAGGAGAACCTATGCTTTAATTACTGAAATTTCCTTCCATAGTTTCCACATATCCGGTTTTATAGATTATAAAAATGCAGTTAGAGCCATAATCTTTGACTTATGGTAAGCAGTGTTCTCTGGTCTGTAAGATAGTAGTGGCTGCTTAGCTAGATAATTAATATGGCTGTAAAATCTGTGACTTAGGTTTTTAACGATTTTCCCTTGGTAAAGACTTGCCTAAACTTAGGCCTGGATCCAAAACCTATTTAAAACAGTGGAAGGATTTCAGGAACCTCTGCATCTGGACATCAATAGTTACATCTAATCGAACTTCCCAGAAAAGTCCATGTTACAGAAGAACAGAGACAAGATAAACGTAAGAACTTGAGCACCGGGTTGAATATTTTGGTGTTTTGTATCCCTTACAGCCTGCAAGTCTGCAAAAGCAACAGCACCAGCAGCCTGTGGTGCCCGCACTGAGCATCCCTGGGTCTGTACAAGTGTAAGGATCTGGCAGTTTACTTTCAGCTGCAGGACCTTAGCCAAAGTCAAGATTTGTTCCAGCAAAAGGGTGGAAAGCTGTGTCGTAGCCAGGCAGCCTTCCTACCTTTATCTTCACTCAGGAAGGTGTTGCAATGTGCTTCACTAAAACAAATGACAAAATGTCATAAATCCCAGCTGAGAAAAGGTAGGGACAGCGCTACAGTCCCAGAGACTAGTCAGGTAGAGTGGATCGTTTCTCTTGCATTAGTGCCTTCATTACCCCTTCAAGCCCTGTCGCAAGACGCTCTGCATTTAAATGGAATCCATCTCTACTAACCCTAGAGCAGCAAGTGGATGGGAGCACGCTGCAGGGACCTCCAAGGTGCACAGTCAAGTCAGACTTATTGCCATAGACTAATGGGACTACACTGCACCTGCAGCTGAGCTGCTAGATCCAGATAGTGCTCCAACATAGGTTGGAATAGCAGATTACTGCCCCAGGTCTTGAGTTGCTTCTTTGCACTGCTTTGTCTGACAGCCTGGACGTGACCTTAGGGGTTTCTTCCAGTCTAGTTTTCAAAGCTCCAGTAATAAGATTCTGACCAGTCTGTTGTCTGGATATCTTTGCATCACATGATTTCCCACTCTCCTTAATTTTTATGAAATTTTCAATGAACTTCTCATTATTTTGCAAAACACGTGTGCTTATGACACATGATAATTAGTGAGGAATTTCTCAACTTTTCAGTTTCCATCAGACAGCTCAGTTTCTATCATCCAAGGATGTTTTTCAACCTAACATACAGTATTACATCCTAAACTGTTCCAAATATATCTGCATTGTCACACTGGAATGTGTTTTGCAACATCATTTGCCACAAATTTATAATACATTTCATTCAGTCACTCAGCATGTTGAAATGGCTTTTTTTTGAAATCCAAATTCAAAGAACAAGGAGGTTAATGTACTAACAAAGAAGGAAATTTCCTGAGTGTTACAGTAGGTTCCTATGGTGACAAACAATCCTAGCAATTTGATGGAGTACAAATAAACACATGTGCATGTGTTTCTTTGATAACTAAAGATTTTAGGTTAATATGCTTGAAATTAAAATATAAATTAATAACTTGATTGGAATCACTTAACGTGTAGATTTGTTGCATCAAATCTCAAGTATCTATCCTTGAATGGTATATTCAATGTGTAGTTGCAAAGAAGATCTGGGCTAAAACTGGTAAGGATGAGTCCTTAGATGGGAACTGACAGCAAAGTCGAAGTTAGCATGGAAGAAGTTTAATGAAGATCTAGTCCTTGCTGCCTATGAGAGCAAGCTGTCCCCAAAAGAACTTGATTTTAAAGCCCCAATCTGTTGTCCTTGTATGTGGAAGAGGATTTATTCTCCCACACTGAAGTGATGGTGTCTTAAGCATACAATTTTGGCTTCCCCGTTCTCCTTGGGAATCGCTCATCTTCAAATCCTGTCTTCAAACCGCAACACTTCAGCCTGTCTCTGAGTGTTCACAAATAAGGAATTAACAGTGACACTAAAAGCATTAGCATATTTATTATTATTACTTAAGGGGAAGCAAGTGGCCTCTGATCCATAATCTTAAATCACTTAAACATGAGAGCCCTCCTCTGACAGCTGGGATGATATATGTAATACATGCACATGGACTCTTATCTCCTGGCGTAACAGTGGCTCAAACAAGATGGATTTTTTTTTTTATATATTTAATGCTGCAGGTTTCAGGGTTATTCATCTAACAATAAGCAGAGCTAAAACCATGACAAAACTAAGAAGCCTTTATGTGCTAAACAGTATCTTGCATCTAGCAGAATCTGTTTTTTTGAGAGGTGGAAAAGAGGCAGTACCTTCTCTGTATATGACCGTTTTTAAGCAGCTGAAAAAAATATTTACAGTAATAATTTGATATATGAAAGACACACTGAATTCAAATCTCTTAGTTTTTCTTGAAATCTCTAGGCAGCAAATGAAAAATTTATAGATATTAGCTCTTCTATAAGAAATAGGTCATTATACATGAAAGCAGAACAACCGTTAACTAACATGCAGATGTCTCAAGGTCTCATCTAATGATAGCATTCTGAAATATCAGTAAAACCCAAAGATTTTCTCTTCTTGACCTCTGTGCTGTTGTATGGCTTAGAATTTGCTCAGAAAGCAATTAAATAAATGTCTATCATGTTTTAACAGTCGATTCCTTCAGAAGAGCCATAGGTTGAAAGAGAAAAAGGCATCTATTTAGTCTCAACCTAAGCATCAATGGCAATTTGAATAGTGAGAGCCAATTCCACATTGCAATGACTGAAATGGAAATTGTGGGAGAATAACACAGTATTAAAACTATTCACTACTGGCCAACTAAGTTTTCATACAGGAGAAATGGGTTTATGGTAAATAGACACAGGTTGTAACTTTATTAAACATTAATCTACAGAAGGACAGTGCAGTTTAGTCGTGTCTGCTCTTAATAAGATCTTCAAGAGCTGTAGTAATAATTAGTGATACCCTGAGACGAATAGGGGAATCAGGCTGCCATTCCTACAGTGTCCCATCACATAGAGGTGTCTGTAAGTGCTGGCTGGATTTCCTCGTGGATGACCGGGGTAGAAGGCTTCCGAGCTTCGTGGCCAGAGAGAACTTCTACCAAATTAGGTGTGACAGCTACATACAATTCCCTGCTGGAGAGGGAAGGTAAAAATCGTTTGGACAAGTATTTTTGTTTCGTTGTAGAGGCGGGGTTGTTGGTCGTTCCTTGCAGATCGGGACGAGGTGAACAAGAAGTCTTCCCTCACCTCACCTCACAGAGCTGAGCTAGGACCAGGTACAGTTACAATCCACGGTTCTTTGGAGAGCGGGATGCAGGAGAGACGGTCAGGGTCTCACTGTCCTTCACACGGGTCCAAGAGCGGGGCCTGTGCACCAATGGGGCTTTCTGTTTTACCTTTGTGGATGGTATGGATTATTTACCTTCTGTATGCACTGTGCAGAGCTAGGGAAGATGATC